TCTAGTTATGGAATGAAAAACTAATAAACATATTATTAAATTGATTCATTCTCTCACATCATTATTAAATCTAATTATGAAACATCATTCTTTCAAATACAAATTAAATATTCCAATAATTTTGTAACTATTTCTTCTATTCATAACTGCTAACGTTATTTGAAAATTAGGAACAATTTAAGTTTAATAAAAAATCATGAAATCTTGATGTGTGTGTATGTGTGCATATTTATATATATATATACACATATATATATATATGTCATGAAAAATATTGCTCTAATTCATGAATATTTCATGGAATGAGTATGGTCTATGAATATAAAAAATTTTAAATATTTTTTCAATATTTTTATTTTATTTTTACTAAAATTTGTATAATTTTCATGAACATTATTTTATATGGGCATGAATATGGTCTATAGAATTCTTATTTGTATTAATCTTTCAATTATCAAGAACATGTTGTGAAACTTGGATACACATGATATGAATAGTATGACAGTTATTCATGAATATTTCATGAAAAGAGTATTAACATTTATTATATACATGATTAATTTATTAAAATTTTCTCCAATTTGTGAAACTTGAATACACGTGATAGGAAAAGTATGAGTGTTATTCATGAATATTTTATTAACAGAGTGTGAACATTTATTGTACACATGATTAATTTATAAAATTTCTCCAATTTGTATGAACATTTCACATAATTTTCATGAACAATCATAGTATATATAATATATATATATATATATGAATAGAAGATTAAACAGATGAAAACCTTTAATTTGTGATTATGTGTAGAATTTTGTAATAAAAAACTAAAAATTTTATGTATATTTGATATAAAAAATATGATTATCATTCATGAATTTTTCATTGTATGATTATGAACCTTTAGTTTTTGTACGAATAAGATTATCTTAATTTATTAATATTTTTTTGTTTTTTAATTTTCTTTGTAATTATGTTTTGGGCTTGAATACGTGATAAATGATAGCATTAAACATGGAAAGAGAATTGACTAATTTAATACTTAATATTTTAATCAATTATTTATTCCTTAAATAAATTTCATTAATAGACCAGTGCACCATGTATGGTGAACCATGTGCACCATATAAGAACTCTTCATTGTAAACATTTCAAAAATCCACACTTTGTCTAATAATGGTGTTAATATTATCATCATCAACCTTTATCATACTATATTATAATTGGGGAATATGGATTTTAGTTTGGTAGTCCTCGAGCATAATTATTTAGTCTGTTGTTCATTTATTCATGAGATCAATACAATTAATTACTATAATTTTATTTAACTCTTTATTTATCCAACACTAATAATTATCATTGTTAATCATCATAAAGGTTTTAACCTTTGGTATTCATGAAAAGAAAGACCAAAAGTCTGAAACGGGAGAAAAAAAAATATACGAAGTCACAATGAATGTGTAGATTATGTAGAATTATAAAACTTCAATTCATTGAACTTTCACAATTGCAACCGAATTGTCTTCTACTCACAATAGTGTTAATACATTGCAGTAAGATAACCTCAACTTTTGGTGGAATTTGGATGATGGGTTGTGTTTGAGCTATTGTTGTGGTGCTTTTTTACTCCCTTCTTCCACCGTAAAATTGCAGAGAACCACCATCATTAAACCTCAGCATACAAGTAAGCACCGTACCTTGAAAAAGTTTACTTCACGCCTTTAATTACATGATTCACAAAAACATAAATAAATAAATAAAATCTTATAGTGAAACTTTATACTCAAAATATATAATCACGGCAACTTCATTCACGCACGTGTGAAGCACGTTCAAGCCCCCTAGTACAATATAAGAAGGGACTATATAGTAGTCTTTTCCCCTTCTCTTCATTAATTTTTGTGATTCTTTGAATTTTTATGTTAGTTAATCTCAACCACAATCAATCCAATTCATTATTTTTCTTTCACATTCATTATAACCGTTTCCACAATTACTCTAATTATAGTAGAATTACTATTTAATTTATTTCCTTCAATTAGAATCGGGAAAAAAAAACATAAGAGTCCTCCTTTGTTTCAAACAATCACTAATACAACTCTCTAAAAAATTCTTCTTATCTCTCTTTGATTGGGAAGAATTGGTCATTAGTTCGGCTGTTTTACAATCATCTTATCATACACATTTGACTGAGATGAATTGGTAAACGATCTATTTAGGTATAGACATGTATTGTAGTTTTTGTTTTTCTTCCCCCTCTCCCTCTTATAATGTTTTTTACTGTTTTAATTTTTTCTTTTATGATTTTCGGGTTTTTTTTTCTTTGGTTTGTGAAAAAAGTATTTGTATTGACCTATAGTTGTTGTTATGGTTTGTCATGGAGAATTCTGATATGAATTGAAGAAATTCAAAGCATGGAAATTTTTGCATTTTCAGCAACAATGAAATTTGTTGTCTATTTCTCATATATATGCTGATACCTTCAGATGTTTTAGGTGGTGCAATATAGGTGATGCAATAAGATTGGATCTCGAGTTCGTAACACCCTTGGTTATTTTGAAGAAGTATTTGGAGCTGATACATAATTGTGTGGTTTCGCTGGCATTTACGGAAGGACTTGCATCTGGAAGAAATGCATGAAATAATGATTTAAACGTGGTTTGAGAATGTTATTTAGTTTGGACATCAAACACAACAACATAAATTTTGCTTCATTGGAATTATCCCAAGAAAATCTATTTCAACTAAAGATACGAATTTGATAGCCTTTTAAGTATGAGGTCTAAGTGCTCTAAAACTGAAATAATTATGAATGTTACACTCTTTTATTAGTTTATCATTTCAGTAGTAGATTTGTGTCAAACTTGAGTAGGCAATGATTCAATGAGAATTTGTCCCACATCAATTTTTATTTAAGCATTCGATACTTCTATTACTTTGTACAAATCTTGAAACATTTTGTTGCTAAGAATAAAATGATATACTTTTTTTTGTGAATTATTCACTTTGTTTTGTAATACAAAAAGTTAAATATACATAATCAAATATTTGTCATAATCTTCATATTTTGTTATTTCTTATATATTGTTTAAGGCACGGGCACGCGCGAAATGCGTCCGATTTCACTAGTTTTGTTCTTATTAGTGTGCCTATTTCGTCTATAAAAAGGAATCAATTTCTGAGAATAATATTAATTCTCTTTTAGCTTGTTATCTCTCCACTTTATTTTCTTTACAATTCCATCTCTCTTATTCTTCAACATATTATAATTGCTTAATGTAAATTTGAGTTTCGTAGTCCTTTTTAAGCATTAATAACTAGGAATTGTTTTTTTTTTTTTTTCACTTTTTTAACCAAGAAAATGAAAAGATTGTATGTGTTACAGTTGGAATGTTGGATTTATTTAATCTTATGACCTTTGATCTTCTTCCATTGATTTTCTCTTTTATTGTTATTTTGAAGATTGTATATGAACAAATTAATTCATTAGTAGTCTTTTTAAACCATTAACTAAGATTTTTTTTTTTTGCCGGCCTCTTTTTTAACCAATAAAATGAAGAAACTTTAGTGTTACATTTGGTCCTTTGATGTTATGATCCTTTTATATCCTTCCATTTATTTATTCTTTTATTTTTATTTTATTTTAAAGATTATGAACAAATTTGAGTTTGGTAGTCCTTTTTAAGTATTAATAACTAGAATTTTTTCTCAATTTTTAACCAGGAAATGAAAAGTTTGTATGTACTACATTTGGTATTCCTTTAATGTTAGACCTTTGATCTTCTTTCATTGATTTTCTCTTTTATTTTTATTTTAAAGACTAAATATGAACAAATTAGTTCATTAGTAGTCTTTTTTAACTATTAACTAAGAGTTTTTTTTGCCTCCTCTTTTTTAACAAAAAAAATGAAGCCACTTCATGTGCTACATTTGGTCCTTTGATGTTATTACCTTTTAGCTCCTTCCATTAATTTATTCTTTTATTTTTATTTTAAATATTATGAAAAAATTAATGTTCGTTATTAGTCTTTAAGTAATAACTAGGAGTTTTGAAAATGAAAAGATTTTATATGTTACATTTTCTATTCTTTTAATGTTTTGATCTTTGGTTTTATCCCATTAATTTTCTCTTTTACGTTTGTTTTTAAAAGATTATGAACAAATTAATGTTCACTATTAGTTGAAATTTGATAGGCCATGAATTCAACTAGAGCATTTCTAACTTTAAATTTTTCATGTCTTTTATTCTTATCTTCTTTCAAAATTTTAAGATTTCATTAATGAAAATTAAAAAATAATTATTATATAACTCAAATAGAATACTAAGAGTTTTGTATCTTTTTAAATTTGTCGATATATATAGTTTTCAATCAAATAAGAATATTGACACATTTATCTTTTTTTTCTTGCAAGTGTTCACCCCGGTGGTCTTTCCATCCTAAATTCATTGAAGGTAATCACCATTAATTTTATTCTTTTCTTATGAAACTTTAAGTTTTGATTTTTCTTTCTTCTATTCTTTTTTTTTGTTGGGGGATGGGTTGTTATGTAAAATTTGATTGTGCTCTATTGCTCATTTTGTATATTGTGTGTTATTTTTTCCTAGAGTTAGAATATTATTACATTTAAGTTAAATTGTGAAAAATATTCACTAACACGAGAAACGCGTTTATTTCATTTTGTGATTATTAGTTTAGTAATTTTTCAAAAAGATTGGTGGTAGTGGTCTTTAATAATCCTGAATTGGGCACTATGTCATGAACGGAATTTAGGGTTCCGAATTGGAAAGGAGAAAGAGAATTTGGGAAAGAATTAGAAGAATAGAATTCTGCCATTTTTTCATCGATAACCGTCAACGTCCGGTGCCGTCTCTTTTTATCCGACTATTACTAGCAACTATTACATAATTTCTACGTAAGTCCTTATATATTTAAATAATTCAATTTTTAACTCTCTATTTATGACACACTAATAGTTGCAGCCCAAGCCCAAAGAAGAATGGACTAGGCTCGCTGCTTTTGATGGACAAAAAGATTCAGTTGGTCTTCGATCTTTAACGGCTCAGATATTTCGGATCTATTTGACCCGAACACGATCTTATGCGACCCGCCTTACGTGTCACCGATCCCTGGTTTTCTCTATCTCATCTTTCCTACAAAACTACCTACCCGAAGCTCCGGGATTCCCGACGCCAATCTCCGGTGGCCGGTAAAAAATTGTTCCGGCCGTTCCTCCTTCATTTATCTATCCAGCGTAAACAAGTGTCGATTTTTCCCTTTGAATTATTAAACCCGAGAAGCTGGAATGGCTTCAGACGACGATGATGAAAGCCTCGCCCAATTCCTTGAATCCGAAGTCCTCTCTGCGATGTCTGATCAGGTATTCTAGCAACACATATCTGGTTTTCCTTACCCTCTATTCTTTGCTGCTGATTTCACCAATCAGGTTCGAATGAAATGAATGTAATTTATAAATATTTGATCGCGTTAATTTACTGGTGGTTTCTTCATTTATCTAGAGGAATATCTTTTAATCGGGCAAAAATTGATATCTTAGTGCATGTTTTTTCGAATTCTAGGGTCTGAGAAGTTGGATGCTTGCCAATTTTATTTTATTTGTTCTTCTGAGAAAATGATTCTTCGAACGAATGTATACTTTTAAATATTTGTTGGCATTAGTTTGCTGGTGATTCCTTCATTTTAACTTTAAAAGATAGGCTCCTACTCGTGCAAAAATAGATTCTTTAATGTGTGCTTTTGCCAATTCTATTCTAGGTTAGAAGCTTGCTCGGGTTATAATATTTTTGCTAAGTTCTACATTTTTAGAATGATCAAGGTTCATGAAATTATCCCTGATTTGTTGATGTATAATTTTCAAGGTCAAAGCCTAAAGATATTGCTGACTGCTAGCTAGCTAAATACCTTGATGTAATCGAAAGTGTTCTTAAAATTTGTCTGATTTGTTTATTATTTTCCAATGTTTTTCTAATTTATTTACCTTTTGATATATGTGTGTGTATTCGTGGTATGTGTATACACATTTTGAGCTTGATGAAACTGAATTTCTTGTAAAAGAGATTTGCAACTGTTTTGTTTGTCTGCCATTTTGTAATGTGGAGTACTGAATGATTCGTGGCAGGAGGACGAAAAGAGGGAAGGAGGGATTGAGGAAGAGAATGAGGATGGAGATGCAAACACAATGCTTTTCGTGGAGGATGATTTTATCGACGAGGCAGAAGAAGTTGAGATGAGGAAGGAGGAGGAGGAAAATGAGGATGCAGAGGACAAGGAAATCAATAAAATGCTGATTGAAGATGGTGGTACTAGTTGCGACGATGAGGACAAGGAGCAGGAACAGGGAGAAGAGAGGAAAGCAAAGCGAAAGAAAATTGAGGAAGTTGATAGCAGCATTAATAGGCAACCCATGATGTTGAAAGCATGTAATATGTTATCTTCAACTGAATCAGCTTCCTTGTCTCCAAAGGTTACTGAAACTGATGAAGGTAAGGGCGGCAAGGGAAATAGTAGCGACAAGGGACGTAAGAGACTTGAGACAGGGAATTTGAGCAAAGTTCCTCCTGAACTCTTTCGTAACATACTTAAATTTCTCTCCTCGGAGGTATATGTGCCTCAACAGATTTTTTCACTTTTCTTTGTTTTTGTTTCTATGAATTATTCAAAATTCTTATTCGTTGTGGATTGCAGGATCTTGTTTCTTGCTCCTTGGCCTGCAGATTTCTTAATTTGGCTGCTTCGGATGAGTCGTTATGGCGTAGCCTGTAAGTATTTCCTTTCTCTACAACAGTGAGTCCGGTATACTTTTTTTCGGTGCGTTGTTGAAAACTGAATTCAGCGAGCCGTTTAGAAAGATGGAGTCAACAAAATTTCATCAAGTAGAATTCCATGTCTAGCCATTATTAGGGACAAGAATTTCATCTTGAAAGGGTATGTGTTCCGGAGTTGATTAGTACCATTTGAAGGTTGGTTGGCATAGTTTCTTATTTGCTCTCATCTCTGTCTGATGCACTTTATATGTATTATATGTTTCTTATTTTTATTTGAAAGGTGGACACAGGAATTTGTTTATCTTTTCGTATACCCTTGAGACCTAGTAAAATGAAATGAACTAAACAAATGAAAATGGAGACTGAAAGTGTTTATTACCCTGTATCTGCTTTGCAGTTAAACATCAGGATTTATGTGTAATTCCACACTATTCAGATGACTTACTATTATTCTTGAGTTGCTACCTGTAATTTGTTTGCACGTATTGACAATGGGATGCTAACCCTCGCATTTTCTAGGTATTCAATGCGGTGGGGTCTGCTGCCACCAAAGAAGTTGCGAGAATGCGCTTGGAAGAAGCTGTACATTCAGGTGTTCTGTTTTTCTTTTTTTCCTTTTTTTTTGTGTTTATCTTGTGTGTGAGATCATAGTGTTTTAGGGGATTTGGTGGTTATGCCATTGATATTGAAGCAGTCATCACATCAATAATGCGTTTTCTTTTTGTTTTTTTGGCTTTCAGCGTGATGAAGAAGACATGGTGGAGTTAGTTAGGAGCTGCCCACCGGAATTTAAAGAGTATTACATACAAATGCAGGCAGCAAAGAGAAGCCAGGCACCTCTCGCTTCGCAGGTAGTTTTTAAGAACATATTTTCCCCCTGAATTTATGTTGTGTTAATTTCAGTTGAAAGGACTTCTCTCTCGAGACACAAATGAATGTGTAAATGTAGGACGTGCATAAATGTAGGACATAGATTATGTTCTTTGCTGTCCCTTCCCTCTTACTTGCATAAGAGAGTATCTTGTTTCAATCTCAAAATCGCTCAATTAAGTTCTGTTGCTTCTTACCGTTAGTGACGTTGCTGGAAATCATCAATACATCAAAAGCAGCAAATGCATCTTGGGTCGCAGCGGAAACAGCCTCTTTGTATTTAAATACAGGGGGTAAGGCTGCATACAATTGACCCCCCAGACCCAACGGAGTTGGGAATATACTGGGTATGTGGTTGTTGTTGTTGTGATGTCAAAACCTTGATCTCTGTTAAGAATTTGCATATCATTTTGCTTGGTTTATAAATCTTCTCCTGTAGTTAAGAATGTAGCCTCAATTGACTAATTCGGTTTCCCTTACGCTACGCTAAAATGATAAAATGGGAGATGGAAAAAGAATGATAATTTTCTTGGTTGTAATAACCCTTTTTGTCGAAAGAAAAGGGGAAAGATAGAGAGAAGAATGGTAATAAAAGGATTTCACATTGCTCTATGTTGGGTTACATTTATTTCCTTTAAGGAACTAGCGTTCTCTCATGGGTTTTCATAGAAGACCTTGACGTTATTTCTTGACATTATTTCTTCAATACCTTTACTTTCCCTTCCTTTTTTGGTATGGCACTGTATTTTTGTTTCTCTCAGGATTATGTGTGAACCTGTTGATCATATTAGCTGAAATTTAACGTCTGATGAAACGTATTCTGCTACTTATTGCTGTTTGAATGTCAGGTGCTTGATGACCGGGTTAGTATTGACAAGACTGTTACCGATCAAGTTTCTTCTTGGAAGAGCAGTAGAGGCCTTGGTGATAAGGTGGTTGCAGATCATGCTTGTTCTGGGGATAAATGTAGTTATTTTAATATTGGTGATGCTTTTGTCTGTGAGAAGACTGGAAATGTTCATGGTAAGAAGTGAAAAGATTTATCATGCGATTATTTAGTAGGTATACTGGAATAATTGAGTTTCTTTCTCATGATTTATGGGATTGTGCAGTTTGTGGTGATACTTGCAAAGAAGCTGTTGCTGATCCAGTAAATGAACTTCTGGTTTGTACCATATCAGGCCGTTGTTTTGACAGATTACTCTCTCCGGATGAAATAGAATCTGAGGTCAGAAAGTACAATTCTTTTGCATAGGTTGCCTGCTTGCATAAATTTACTCCACTTTCAGAAGTGCATTAAAGAAATACTTGACCTGCAAAACTGACAGATCAATCTTCTAAGTTGCCTTACATAGCCAATAACATCAAATAAGTCTTCCCTGGCTAAGTTTGACTTGGTTTGATGATTTATTTAACATGTAGCTAGGCTTCTTTGTAGTGTTGCTTCTTTTACTCATTTGCTATGTTTCCATAAGACTGATGTTGCTTAGATATAATGGAAGTTTTTTTTATGATTTGACGTAGGGCTTTTATTTGAAAAACAAAGTTGCTTTCAGTTATTTACCTTTGAAGTCACTGTATCAAATGTGTTTTCTGAAGTAGTTTCTTTCCTCACCCCTTGTTTTCTGGTTTGTGATCATCTAAGGAAGGTGCTCATTTCCCATTTCCATTTGAATTACAGGAACAACAACAGGGTGGTGTTACGGATGAAGCAGAGCCCTTCATGGGGTCTGGCCGTTTTGGTATGTTTTGATTCTTAACCCTTCAATCCTTAGTCGAGTGTTTGAGTTCATCCTTTTCTAATTCGCCTGTGCATTTCAGCTCGAGCTTACCAGATTGGTTACAATTGCACCAGTGAGAAAGAGCTAGAATCTACTTGGAGGTTCTGCTGCTGATTTATTTATCTAGCTGGACTTCACTTTCATGGTTGAGAAATTGCATGATTTTATGTTACAGATCTTCCCCACCCCGTTTGTATTTGAAAAAAGCACCCTTCTTCAAGGGCGTCAGCTTGTCTTAAATTGTTCTATTGCAGTTTGATTACAGTATAAGTTATAACAATATTTTCCTAATAGAAACGATGATAGAACGACATTTTGTCTGACCTTGTGGCAGTTTTCTTCTTTCTCATTTTTTAGGCCAGAGAAAATTATGACTAAATTAATTAAATATGCTTTAAAATGTTACTGTGCCTCGCTTCTTGTTCTTGGTGGTGATATTTTTGGTCTTTTGCGAACCGGTCTACATTCTTCACGGTACCCCTACATTTATTTTTTTGGCTCAATTTTATGCTAAAAATACACGATTTCGTAACTAGATCATAAATGATAATGTTGAAATCTCACAAGTTTCATTTCCATCATTAATGCACATTGTAAACCATTATATTGTTTTTAATATAATTTATTTATGCTATTTCGATTATTTTTGTAGAACATAATAATCACTTAAAATTTTTAGTTTTAATACAATTTGAATTAAAAGTGAAATTTTAAACTAGGTTATTATTTTGGAACAGAGGGAATATTTTTTTTAGGTGATATATAATCTAAATAAAAGGAGAAATATCAGTAACATAAGTTTCTCTTTTTTGTCTTCTAATTTATTTATTCATTTATTTTTGGTTAACAAAACATAAGTTTCTCTTTTGATTGCCCTCGCCCCTTTTATTGATCGTTTTCAACTTTTCATCATATTTGGTCCATCCTCCACAGTAAGTTCATTTATGCTTTCATTTGGTTGGAAATTAATTTCAATATGCGTTGTTCTCGAAATTTTCATGTGAAATGAATGACTGAATTATGTACAATGAAACTCTCTTTGAAAAAAAAGAACAAAAAGAATTCGTAAACGACGATCATAAACACAAAAATTTAAACCAATCACATTTAAAATTTGTGTTAAGGTTATTTGCAGTAGAAATGAGCAGACTTAGTTATGTCTTAAAATAATTGTTCAGTTTAGATTTTTATAGTTTTGATATAATTTGTGCTTAAAAAAATATAAAATGACAATTAGTTCGAAACCAGAGTGTATATTTTTAAATCTTGACACTACCCTATTTATAAATGTACAAATTAAATAAAATAAAATCCTTAAAAGACAAATTTACAGATTGAATGCAATTATTATGAGAAGGGAGCCGATTCTCAATCTCAGTATCAGTCAAGGTTGAACATAATATGATTGAACAAATTGTTACATATACTCCTTTTGTCCCAAAATTATTGTACAATTTGATATTTCAGTTTTAGTACAATTTAAACTAAGAATGAAAACCTAAACTGGAGAATAATTATGCGAAAAAGGGAGTATATGTTTTATTTCAATAAATAGAAAAATTTATACCAGTGTCCATCTCAAAAAAATTACTTACATTAAATATTTGTTAATAACAGAAGAAACAATATCCGACATTGAACATCTTAGTCTATATTTTGGATGAGATTTCAATAATGGATTTAAACTTTTTTAATTAAAATAAAAATCTTAAAAACATATCATAATAATTAGGAGAACACAAGAAATGTGAAAATACATTTTTAAGGGTTTTTTTTTCAATTAAAAAGATATTATAGATTAAATATAGGACGGAATCAAAATGCCTTATAATAATAATAATGACCGGAGGGAGTATCATGGAAGAGATCGTACTTAAGGTTTGGTAGTTTCCTCAAGGATATTTCATATTTGTCTTCTTGTTATAGTAATTAATCCTTTTTTTTAATAAGAATCCTAATTATCTAATTAGCAGACGTTTGAAAAGTATTAAACGTGTCAATTCCTAATGCCTTGGAAGTGGAGAGCCTTTAGATAGAGAAGAAGAAGAAAGATATGCTCTGACACACGTCATGAACGCGTCTAAGCAACGCGTAGAATCCGGATATTATTTTTAATAATATAATTCCCTACAATATCTCATTCTCGTCCGTATCCTCTAAAGTTAACCCAGTAATTGATTATAATAATAATAAACAAAAAAAATTCTTACTCTTTATTTGAGGCGCTTTTTAGTTCCTTTATATATCTTCGATTTTCACAATCTCTCTCTCACTTTTCATTGTTGCTGCTTGCATCATCCTTAACAAAACTCTGTAAGCTCTCTGCCTCCTTGTTTTCTTCTTCGTTATCCACGGTATAATGTGCATGAATGTGTTTTTGGGTGCGTTTTTTTTCTTTTTTTCTCTCCTGGTAGGATTGTTTCCTTTGGTTCAATTTGAATCTGTCGATCCTGCTTTTGGTGTTTTATTCCGGTATGTTTGGTTGTTGATCGCGATGGGATTTGATGTTTTTCTACCGTTACGTTTAGTTTCATTGTTAATTGTGGATGCTCTAATGTGTTAATGTGTGATCTTGATCGGGGATTGATGTGTACGAAAATTTTGGAAATTGCCTCGTTTTGTGTTCTGATCTTTGCTGGTGATTGTTGATTTGTTGACCACCCGAGGAGGAATGCATGAAACAAACTTTATTTTGCTTTCAAGATTTTTGATCTGTACTTCATCAATCTAGTTAATTTCTTTTTATTATTATTACCTATGAGATCTTTCGTTTCTCCAGATTTGGGGATATTTGATAGGAATTAACTGTCCTGCATTCTTTCTAATATGCTTGTGAGGGAATGGTAAGCTGAGGGTATTCAGAATTTCTCCTTATGTGAGTGCTTGGATCTTATGTTTCTTTGCGATATGATGATAGATGATCTATTCAGGTTTCATAGTAGTATTAATGTAATATTTTCATGTGGACCTCTTGGAAGCTATTAGGATGTCTATATCTTAATTATGGATTATTTGTATTTGTTCTTCCCTCCTCTAGAATTCTCGTCTACAGTTTATGATACCTCGTTCTGCTTCTACTTCTCAATTCGGGTGTTTAAATATGATTCCTGACATTATAAATGATAGCAAGTGTTCTCCCAGATTATATATATTAACGTTTTAAGCATCTATAGTAGTGTACTCATCATGTTTCTGGTGAAAATTTGTGTTTATATACCTAAATTGTGCGAAGTACACTGCATAAGTTGGTCAATTGGTGTTTGTGTTGTCCTGAGGAATTACTGCCTTTCATCGCTTCTCCCTATTTGTGGTGAATGATTTTATCTTAGTTTCTTGTTGGAGAGCAAAAATAATTGATAGCTTCACTGATTGAGTAATTCTGCCAGAATGTCTTATATTCGATGCAAAATTGGCACAATTGGTGATGCTTCGGATTAGTTTAGTTATATTTCTGTGCTTTTGAGCACATCTACCTTGCCGAGTGATCGAGTTTAATGAGGTTTCGTACTGTTTTTTCCCAGTGTGCCTCAAGACATAATGTTTTGTCTTAGTCCAAGTTGTTTAAAAGTTTGCCAATCTTCCCACTGACTGTAGTGCACCGTGTTTCCGTATTTAGGTGTTAGAATTTAAAATTGCAAATGGGAGGTGGAAAAGACAAGCATGACGAGCATGACAAAGGTCTGTTCTCTCATGGACAGTACCCTGGACAATACCCTCCTGGACAATATCCTCCTCCGCCTGGTGCGTATCCTCCACCAGGTGGTTATCCTCCATCTCATGGATATCCACCATCTGGATATCCTCCTCAGGGATACCCACCATCAGGAGGGTACCCACCTTCTGGATACCCTCCTCAAGGGTACCCCCCTGCAGGTTATCCCGGTCCATCTGCTCCACATCAATCAGGTACACTTGCTAATGATGTTAGACATATTAAAATGTGATTTTTATTTTTTTTTATTTTTGGGATACAGCCTTGTTATGCCCTTTCCCATCTCTGTTCCTGTGTGCATTGTAGACCCGGTTAAATGAATGTATAGTGGTACAATGCTAAGGCTGGTTTAGTTCTTTCTTCCTCCGGTGTTTCTGTATTTTGTTTTTCAGTAATGATGATAATATGATCAATGCAATTTTACAACTGATCATAATCTGTCTGCCTGGTGCTTTTCTTCTAAGTTTGGTAACTTATAGTCATATTTAGAGAGAAGAGAGTAGTCTGATGTATGGTATCTTAGGAATTTCCGCATATCTTTACTTAGAGAGAAGAGAGTAGTCTGATGTATGGTATCTTTGGAATTTCTTTATTTAGAGAGAAGAGAGTAGTATGATGTATGGTATCTTTGGAATTTCTCCTTTTGAAATTTGTATTTGTTTACAAACTTCCTTTACTTTTTCCACTCTCAGGGCATGGAGGTATGGGAGCGCTGCTAGCTGGGGGTGCTGCAGCAGCAGCTGCTGCTTATGGTGCTTCTCATTTGGGACATGGTGGACATGGTGGTTATGGACATGGTCCTATGGGAGGACATGGTGGCTATGCCCATGGTGCTCACTATGGTGGGCATGGAAAATTCAAGCATGGAAAGCATGGCAAGCATGGTATGTACGGCATGCATGGTAAATTTGGCAAACACAAGAAGCATGGTATGTTTGGTGGAGGAAAGTTCAAGAAGTGGAAGTAAATAGTTTTCATGTAAATGGGGCAAATAGGTTCTCAACCTTCTGATTGCCTTGAGGATCTTATATTTTAGTATTTTATCAATAAGTAGACAGATTATGTCCCTGCAAGCACGATTCTATGCAAGGCATATCTTACTTTCGTTTGTTAAAGTAAATCAAGACGCTATGTCAATGTAACTAGTAAGCAGGTTGGGTTCCGGATGAACAATCTGAACACCGTCCACTCGTGTTTGAATTTGACTTCCCTGACAGAGAGAAGCATTGTCTTTAAATTTGTAGTCTTCCCTTTGATTGTCAATAGTGTGTACTATGTGGGATCAGTTTGTTCACTTCCGCATTTTGCTTGTTCTCAACTAGTTAGTATTTTGACTTCGAATGCATAAATTGTTCTCCCTCTCATCTTAATATAAGCCACAAGGGTATACTTGTATTTACCCTCTAGAGTATTAAGTATAGAACCAAGGATGGCTATTTTCCTACAACAATTTGTCGCATCCAGTATATATATATTTTTTTCATTTTTTTCACATTTCCCCTCGTCAAGTCAACTTTTTAATTTTCCTCTCTCGGTTATATGCTTTATATAATGCTTTATAATGTAAAAGTAAGAAAGTGATTTTTGCAAAATCAAAAAGCTCTGCTGAAATTTTTTTAATCAAATACTAAGCTGTAAAAATGTTCTTCATGGTCTCCTCCCAAAAAAAAAAAAAAAAGGAAAAACCCTGCACATGAAGGTCACAAAACCTGCCCATTAGAAAGAATGGACAACATTTTAAACACAACAAAAGTCCACAATAAAAGTCCCCAACAAAATAAAATAGTCACTGCCAAGTCATTAAAAACCTCAAGATTTGGGACATTTACTGATTAAGAAAATGAAATATGTATCTTTGTTTAGATCGCATGCTAGATGATAACTACAAATTAATACAGAACATGCTAAACTCACTAGTCATTGCCAGTTAATTATTCAACCAAAAAGAATTTTGAACATATATTGTGATAAGTAATATTAGTATACACATTTTTATGGAACATATCCTTCAAGTAAAACGTAACAACCATTCTGCAAAAACCAATATTATCGTCACCATTTCACACAATATGACGGCATACCAAATTCATCAAATAAATTGTTTTCTATTTGTTTCACTGTACACTAGATTGTCGAAAAAATTACTCTTAGGAAAATAATCACCATCGGAAAAAAAAAAAAAAAACTCTTAGGAAAATAATCAAACACCATGTTTGAATTACTTTTTGAGTGTGTGTTTTTAGGTATTTTTTCTATTGAAAATGTAAAAAAGTGCATTGAAAATGTAAAAAGATATGTTGGGATAGGACAATTATTATTATATTATATTTTGATTAAAAACTATCAAAAAACACAAAAACACATAGGAGATAGGAAACTAACTTGATTGATAGCAAGGGTGCCGATAATCGCTGATGTTACAATTGATGGTGATACTGAAGGGGCGGAAGCAGCGAAAGCCGATGAAAAGCAGCAGAGGGGTCACAGAGGGTACATTAAGGAGAACGTGCACAGAGAGGGTAATGACTTGGTGCAGCACATCCGTTTCCTAGCACTATGGCTAAATCGCTACATAATCTGTGGTAAATCTTTCCAAATGACCCAATATATGTATCATATGGATGCTGTGCTAGCGTCTGGAAGATTCATTAACTTGTGTGAAATCATGTTATCAATGCTTTACCATAGTATGCATGAAATTAGGACTTCGCCTAGTGAAATAGTGTTTGGTCCTATCTGGTTGTTGATCCTGTGGTTTTATAATAGATTTATAGCTATTGTACTGTGGGAATCTGTGCCAAACATCACAGTGGTGTTGAAAGAATTGGTACACAAACACTGGCATCCTGAATCTGGTGTGCAGACGCAAGTAGAGGCACAAACTGGAAAATGGGATAATGACAATGCTTTAGGATTGCCCAATGTGTGGAGAAGATTGTTGGTATCCCGCGACCTGTACTATGGGTTTAAAAGTTTCTCTCCTCAAAACGGGGAAATCCATATGCATGCTGAGTATTATGCGTCTGTTATGGTGGCAAGGCAGCTGGGTTTGGTACAAGGCATTCCATTCTTTGATGTGGCCTGTCGGAACACATGGCGGCTAAATGCATGAAACTGTCGATGCTGGAGTACTATGAGCAGAAGAGATAAAGACCAACCGGTGCCGTTCAGGGAAAGTAATACCCTTTGAAATTGTTCCGAAGGTGGCTGGGGGTTTCCCATTTTGGTTGGAACAGGTTATCAAAACACTGTATCCGCAAGGTCTTGATGGCATTGTCAAAGAAGTGGCACCAATAGATTCCGACATTCCTAAACTGACTGCGGCAAATGATCAAGCTCCTCCAGGTAAAAAGTTTTGACCAAAACTTGCTTATATGTTGTTTATTTGTATGAGGTATTAACTGGTATTGTAAATGTCGTAGTGCCATTGGGAAAAATTATAGTGGCAACTGGAGGGAAGAAATCAACCAAAAGAAAGAAGGTTCAAGCTCCAGAGTCGCAGGTGAAGTGTCGGAAGTCTGTCCGTCTGACAAGTTAAAAGCAAAACCTCCGGCAGCAGCTCCAAGGTATGGTACCATGTTATAACAATGCTTGAACAATTTTTGTCTGTGACTATTTGTTAATGAATGTCATGTGTGCAACAGAAACATGCAGAGACTATCAATTTGTCATCGGAAGAATCAGACAGTGAAGACAAGAAAACTTTAGCATCACTGCAAGAAGATGAAGGAAGTAGTCCAGAGCAACATGCGTCTCCGTCGCCAAAAACATTTGGCAAAACACCTCAAAGAGGGGCGACTACGAAAACAAGTGTGACAACTGCGATTTCGTCGGTGGAAGAATTGCAATAACGCGTATCCAAAAGGGTGGATGAAACAACGCCTGTGGCCAAAGCAAGCAACAAGCCGACACAATTTGTGGGAGTTGCACTAAGAGTTTTGCAAGGGCTGTATAAAATCAGTGCTGAAGAAGTTCATGCAAGATACCATCAGTCGCTGAAAGGGGCTCTAGAGACCATCAGTGAGAGTGAGTTCACTGACTCAATCAAAGCCACAAATGGTTTATTCCTGGCCAATTTTGAACAACTGAAAATTAGCTGTGAGATATGTGTGAAACACGTGGAGGATTATAACCACTCAGCGATGGCACCTTTGGAAGCAGATGAGACAACCAAAATACTGGTGGAACAGGCTGTTGCAGCAGTAGCGCAGGCAAAGAAACTGGCAGAAAGGCAAGCTTCGCTTGAATTGGAGTTAACCTCTGTCTGTGAGCAGTGACAAGAAGTAGATATTTTGTATGCCAAGAATGCCCAACAAAGTGCAGAAGCCCTGAGTATGCGAGATGAGCGAGCACAAGATGTGAAAGAAAAAGCAGTACACTACGACAATGCGTAACCCATTATTGCAGAGGCTGTCAAGATGTGGAACCTCTTGAAAGGGGCCATGAAATATCTTCCGGTGTCAGCAAAAACGCCTTCTACAAGTAGAAGAGTTGAGGCAGAAAGCAAAGATGAGCAACCGGAAGTTGAGTCTGCAGCGTCCACCCATGTCGGAGAATCAAATGGAACCAGAGGAATCCCAGATGCAGAGGCAGGAGGCAACCAGTAAAACAGCCACTTGTGTGTGGTTTACTAGGCGTTTTGTGCCAAAAATACTTTCTGATATTCTCGTATTTTGAACATCTATCTTTTGTTCTCTTTTGTTGAGATATCCTAATCTACTCTCTTTATGAATATCTGCGTGCTGCGATTGCGATAGCCTGTTTTTTCTGTTGCACATCTAACTGTTCCCACCTCGATAGGTAATATCTCTTGAGATAAATAGCATTGATAGAACGCTCACTGACTTGGCCATCAAAAGTTGCCAAAGTGTAAACATTGCGACCTAAGTGTCGATGAATGATAAATGGCCATTCCCATGTTGTAGTCCACTTGCCATATTTATGATCCCGATGTCCGTTTGGTAATATGGCTTTCCACACCTTTTCGCCACCCTTGAATTTACGTCGCCTTTCATGTTGATTGTACTGCTTAATAACAAGACTCTTCTCATATTCAATCTGCCTGGCAGCATTACTTTGAATTTCTATAATCTGGTCTTGCTGGATCTGCATACTCAATGCATAATCGACAGAATCAATGGGGTGTTTGTTAGTATCCGTAGTGACGGAATCAACTGTTCTATTGGCAAAACTGCATCATGTCCGTAAACCAACTCATAAGGAGTAGCTTGCGTTCCACCACGTTTTAGACATGCGATAGGCCCACAACACATGTGGCAATAAGGAATGCCAAGCTCTGAGATTATCAACAATGTGAGGATTCATAATATTCTTGATAATTATGTTACTAGCCTTCGCCTGACCGTTCCCTTGCGCAAAGTAGGGAGATGAATGAGTGAGGAAGAAACCAACGTCTTTGGCAAAATTCTGCATCTCTGCACCAATGAAGTACTGCGCTTGATCAGTGACTATGGATTCAGGTATCCCAAACCAATAGAGTATATGCTCTTGGATAAAATGGATAACCACCTTTTGGTCAACGTCTTTTAATGGAACAGCTTCTACCCACTTGGTTAAATAGTCAGTGGCGACCAAAATGTATCTATGTCCACTTGAGGAAGAAGGATGGATCATGCCAATTTTGTCCAATGCCTGACAATAACTTGCATTGGCGCAGCTGGTAACCGTGGAACATCCCCATGTCGCTGATAATCAACACAACCACGGGCAAAAGAAATGCAATCTTGAGTCATAGAGGGCCAAAAATACCCATGTCGGCGAATAAGCCAGGCCATCTTTCGTTCACCTTGGTGTGCGCCACATGCACCTTCATGAGTTTCCAGCATAATGACTGTAGATTCTAGGCGATTGAGACACTTAAGTAAAATTTCATCGGCTGTCTTTTGATAAAGAGATCCATCAATCACAACATATCGTGTTGCGCGGCACCGAGTTTGTTGATCAGTGGGAGTATCTAGGTTTGTAAGAAATTGAAGTATTGGTAATCTCCAGTCGTCAAGATCAATTTGCGGTTGTATGACATTGATATCAACATGTGCGTGATCATGATAAGCAGGGATATCAAATTCAACTATGTCGTATTGCCATGATAGATCCACCTCAGAAACATATTCGGAAGCTGATTGTGCCATGGCATTTGCTTCTTGATTATCAGGATGCAACACATTGTGAATATAATGGTGTGAAAATGGGATTTGAGCTCATCACCTAGGGTGGCATACTTAATGAATATATCATCTTTTTGCTTTATAGTATTCTTCATATGTCCAACCACAAGGGTAGAGTCACCGATAACTTTAATATTGCGGGCGCCGTTGTGAATTAATGTACGGAGTTCATAAATCAGACCTTCATATTCTGCTTGATTGTTGGTAACACGGAAATTGAGCCACCCGATTCGCAACACCTTTCCTAAAGGAGAATAAATGACTACGCCAGCTCCACAGCGATGAAAAGTAGCAGATCCATCAAAATACAGTTTCCAAGGAATGACTGGGGAAACATCAACTTGAAAAGCGACAACCTCTATATCGAACCAATTATCATCAATGAAGGGTGTGTAGCCAAAAAGTCTACCAAAGCGTGCCCCTTAACCGCCGATTGTTGAACATGTTGAAATTGGAATTCCATGAGTCCCAACATCCATTTACCGATTCTGCCACTCATGTTAAGCCGATTTAACATATAATGGACCAAGTTGATTTTGCTAATAACACACACAAGCGTTGATAGCATAGACGCAACTTGGTAGCAGCAATATAAAGAGCTAAACATAGCTTTTCAATGGCAGGTGATAACGGTTAAATTGTTACATAAAAGCATTGCAATTTTGCTCTTTAATTAGTCAGAAATTAGGGGTGTTTCTTAGATTTTTGTTCATTTTACATAGCTAGTTTTGTGTTTCTAAATAGGTGAGGACCGGAGTGATGCTGAAAATGGGAGGCCAAGGGAATAATTTATGGGCTGCTGAGGCAATGTTGCTGAGCTGGATGAAGAAGCAGCCCCTTAGACAAGAAGCATCTTGTCATTAATGACTATGTCTCCTCAAAGAGGCATGCTTGTCCCCCAGCTGCAATCTCAGCCACCTCTGCTGATCAATGAGAGCAATTTTGCCACTGCTAGAAGAAGAAAAGAAGAACAGCCAAGTTGGATTGCAGGCTCAAGACATTGGGAGGATTAAACAACTACAAGCACGGGGAGGCTATCTTGGAAGAAGAACCGGCTTCAAAGCTCTATAAAAGGGAGCTGCATTCCCAGTATGAAGATAGATCTGAGCGGACATACAACACACAAAAACACAACAGAGAGAGAAGAAGAGAGCAGAGAGGGGAGAAAACTCCAAAGGAAGAAGAAGTCCAGTAGCAGAAAGAGAGGAGTAACAGACCTCACTCGCCTGGGTGACCTTTGTTTTTCAGGCGAGTGACCTGTTGCTCAGCCATCCAGATTTGTTTCTTCTTAATGCTTTCCTTCTTTTCTTGTATTTTCTGTAGTTTGTATGTGTAGTTAATTAGATTTCATTCTCTGGAACCTATGTAGCTTAAGTTTGTGAATGCATTCGGATGATTTTGTGTTTTGAAGTTAAAGCTTTTATCTACCTCTTGATTAAATTGGCCATTTGATTGATTGTGCACAGAACTAAGTGAATCCCCGGAAGGGTAAACAAGGTTCAGAATCATTTAGCTTCAACTTATGACTTGGAGGTAACAGTCCAAGGTTCTAATTGAGATAGGAATATACTTGGTTAGCATAAGCATTCATATAAGGCTTGAAAACTTCATGACTTTATGACTTGATTAATCATTGGAAAATAGTTTAATTGAGTTCATAAAGATACCTCTAGAAAAAATCGGAAGTGACTTAGAGATATATAAGTGCCTGAATGAGCATGAATTCATACCAAAAGAGTGCAAGATTACAACTTGATTACATAGGGAAAAGAGAATGAATATCCAGTTTGTTGAGTCAGTCCCTTGAGTCGGAATTCTCACTCCCGTGAGTGAGGTTCCATTTGTCTTTGTTTGTTTTCAGTTCGGCAGAGCCACTTGTGTGAGTGACTTTACCACTTGTGCAAGTGAGTGACACTCTGCAACTATTGTGTTCTTGTTTGTTTTCCGGTTATTTGAAGTTTAACCGTCCCTGTGGGATCGACCTGACTTATCCTATCTACAGTTTAAGTTGGTAAATTATTTTGGGGGCTTCGACAACCCATCAAAAGTGGCGCCGTTGCCGGGGACGGCGAAAAACTTCTTTTAACCATTTGTTTGTTTTTGTTTTTTTTTCCTTTTGCTTTCTGATTTGAGAAGAGTGTGCCAACTCTGAAATTTAATGGCGGATTATCCTTCATATATAGGAAATTCATGTGATTGGAATGATAACCAACATAATGCACCTTATTGTAGTTTTAATCCTTGTTATGCAACTAATGATTTTCACTCTTATGAACAGGATTGCAACTACTTTACTCCACCAATGTATTCTTTCTATGAGGACAAAGAGATGCAACGCCGAATCGAGATGGAAGAGATATATGAAGAAGTGTTGCAGATGAGACATAGAACGGAATTGGCTGTCCAAAGAATGCAAGAAGCACAACGCCAAAAAGAGTTCCAAGAGATGAATTATAGGCTAAAGGAGCTTGCGCAAAGTGTTGAACGAATGAGTCTTCATCTCCAAACTATAATTGACAACAACTCAAGAAGAGAGAGACAAGAAGCTCTTGAGAAAGTAATCTCATCAATGGAGGACAATGATGTAGAAGATGAACCAAGGGAGGTGGTACTGCAGCCACTACCTATACTTCTTCCACCACCATACTCACACAAGGGAACAGAGAAACTCACTTGTGGGAGTGAGCTGGTGGATGTGCTGAAAATTGATGAGACTTGTCCTCCAAATGAAGAGGTAGTTGACTTGGAATTTATACATATCTTGATGAATGAAGAAGAGTCAACTATCTCCATTGATGAGGGTCATGTTGATGGGGTCAAAGGTAAACATACTTGGGGAGTGCAAGAAGAGATGGTTGATTTTGATCAATTTCAAGCCGAGAAAATCCCCAAAGTGTTGGAAGAGTGGAGCAAGAAAGATTTTCCTCTATGTTGGATGATTCAAAGGTATGCTTCCTGGAGGCATGATAGGCTAATTGATGGCACATTCTTGTGGTATCAAGATGGCTATTCTGAGTGACTTGAAGCCACAAGAGTTGATTTTGGAATGCATCTTGCATTTCAACATTTTGCTTGCTTCATGGGAGGCAACCCATGTTCTTTTCCTTTTAGTTCATTTTTTAGTGATTTTAATTTTTTCTTGTTTAATGTGTGTGCTTCCATGTGAAGAAGAAGTGACAATGTCATCCCAATTCAATTGGTAATCCAAAAATGCAGCAGATTCTGATATCAGTCACTCTGGAGAGTGAGAATAGTCACTCCCCCAAGTGTGCCTGCAACAAGCTGAGTGCTGTGACTGGCTTGCTTTCGATTTCTTTTAGTCTGCATAGGATCTGTGCTTTATTTTATGTTTGGGAGAATTGATATCTGCTCTGATCACGCATGATTATTGTTAGTTTATTTTGTTTCTAACTTAAATATGGGAATTTTGAAAACAGAAGCTGTTGACTTTGAAATTTTGTGTGTTTATTGCTGAAAGTTCTAAGACACTCAGGAAAGTGACTCATGTCACTCGGCAAAGTGACTATGAACCTACTTGATGTTTGAAGTCAATTTATTTCTTTTACCCACCCATATATTTTGTTTTACCTTTCTGTTTTGTTTCTTTTTTAGGTTCTTGAGACATCTTTTGTATGTCATATCCCTTAGTAGCTTGTTAATTCTGAAATTTGGTGTGCTTAATGTGTACTTGCTAGGCTTTAGTCTGGGGTAAACTTCTAATATCTTTATGAGCATTGATGCCATATCTAGCAAGCTTAGGGAGAAATTTCAGAATTTAGCATGTCCGATTGCATATGAGTCACCTAGTTCTTTCTGAGCATTATTGTTAAAAAGCTAAATCTATTTATGGAACTATGGTGTTTCTGGTTTGTTGCTTTCTATGGTCTCTGTGCTTAACTGTATGAACCAAGGAACTTCATGAGCTTAATTTTTGATATATTTAGTCTGTGTTTCAATTCTAATCCTTGGTATTTGAGAAAACTAAATTTGCAGCTAAAGAAGGACTGTAGAGCCACTCCCACGAGTGACCAAAGTCATTCCAACGAGTGACACTACAGAAAAATAAAAATTCTTAACCCTTATAGCTGTTGAATCTTTTTTATGTTCTGATGTTGCAATTCCACGCTGTTGTACAAGGATGTCGCGATCCCTTGTATGGAGTATATTTCGACACAACATAGAGCTTGCAACAAATCGAACAGATATGTTGAATGATGTGCATCATGAAGCCCTCCTCATCCATTTAATTGCTCCAACTCAGGGAAGTCATCAGTCCTCTACCTCACTCACAGGAATGAGAATATCACTCCTGCGAGTGACCACACAGTTTTTGTTGTGAATTGTTTTTGTTTCTGTGAACTGTTTTTGTTGTTATTTTTGTTTTGTGTGATTTGTTTGTCAGCATTAGAGACAATGCTTTGAATAAGTTTGGGGGAGTAGTAGGGAGCATGTTTATAATTTTTGTTTTTTTGATTTTTTGTGAATGTTAGTTCTATGATAGTTGGATATCTATGAAGACCAATGTACTTAATTTCTTATATCTAATTCAAATTTTGATTTTACCTAACTCTTGGTTATCATCTCTACACTATTTAAGCACACATGCCTTTTATGCTTAGTTACATTGAAGTTGAGTTTTATAGCATGCTCTGTGGTGTTCTAAATTGGTTAAAAATGTTTAAATGACTTTTCTCACTACCACTTAAATGCGAAGTGTGGTTTGTTTACATGCTAAAGAATTGACTAAGGCAAGCTTAATGACCCTCTCTAATACCTTCTTTGGGAATTGGTAGACGGAATGCTCAAAAATGAGTAAATAAAAAAGTTCAAAAGAACTTGAGGGAGTATAAGGTAGAGCATCAATGCTAATTCTCTTAGAGTGAAATGGCAACAATGAGTGATCCTTTGGCCTGGAAAGAAAAGTCTCCTATCGAAAGCTCTCGGTAGGAGGGGTCGGAAGTTGGAAAGAAAAAGAATCATGAGTCATAAATAGAAAAAGCCAAAAGACTCGGAGGTAAATAAAAGGGAATGAGGGAGAATAGTTGAAAAGAAATGAATTGTGAGAGTCCTTATATCTCTGAGGCTGTATTGGCCACATTAGCATGATTGTGGTAAGAAAGAATGAGTCATAAGGCTAAGAAATCTCTAAATATGCACCATGAGCTGTTGTTTACCTTATACTAATTTGTCACTTTGCATACTTGGCATGATTCACACACACACGGAGGTGATTTCGTAAAGACTAGGTGAAATTCGAATTTGGATGAAGATATACATATTTTTCTTGTGTCTGAGATGTTGTATCCGATTGTCATATGAACTAGCTATGTTTGGTAGTTGCTGTGAAGTACATGTGTGTTTGTTGCAGTGTCACTTGCCTGAGTGACTTTTGTCACTCAGGGGAGTCAGTGGTTAGCTATTGTTTTCTTGTTTCTACATATGGTTTTAAGGGGTTAGATTGTTTTGCTTGAGGACAAGCAATTCTTCCAGTTTGGGGGAGTTGATAACGGTTAAATTGTTACATAAAAGCATTGCAATTTTGCTCTTTAATTAGTTAGAAATTAGGGGTGTTTCTTAGATTTTGTTCATTTTACATAGCTAGTTTTGTGTTTCTAAATAGGTGAGGACCGGAGTGAACAAATGCTGAAAATGGGAGGCCAAGGGAATAATTTATGGGCTGCTGAGGCAATGTTGCTGAGCTGGATGAAGAAGCAGCCCCTTAGACAAGAAGCATCTTGTCATTAATGACTATGTCTCCTCAAAGAGGCATGCTTGTCCCCAAGCTGCAATCTCAGCCACCTCTGCTGATCAATGAGAGCAATTCTGCCACTGCTAGAAAAAGAAAAGAAGAACAGCCAAGTTGGATTGCAGGCTCAAGACATTGGGAGGATTAAACAACTACAAGCACGGGGAGGCTATCTTGGAAGAAGAACCGGCTTCAAAGCTCTATAAAAGGGAGCTGCATTCCCAGTATGAAGATAGATCTGAGCGGACATACAACACACAAAAACACAACAGAGAGAGAAGAAGAGAGCAGAGAGGGGAGAAAACTCCAAAGGAAGAAGAAGTCCAGTAGCAGAAAGAGAGGAGTAACAGACCTCACTCGCCTGAGTGACCTTTGTCACTCAGGCGAGTGACCTGTTGCTCAGCCATCCAGATTTGTTTCTTCTTAATGCTTTCCTTCTTTTCTTGTATTTTCTGTAGTTTGTATGTGTAGTTAATTAGATTTCATTCTCTGGAACCTATGTAGCTTAAGTTTGTGAATGCATTCGGATGATTTTGTGTTTTGAAGTTAAAGCTTTTATCTACCTCTTGATTAAATTGGCCATTTGATTGATTGTGCACAGAACTAAGTGAATCCCGGAAGGGTAAACAAGGTTCAGAATCATTTAGCTTCAACTTATGACTTGGAGGTAACAGTCCAAGGTTCTAATTGAGATAGGAATATACTTGGTTAGCATAAGCATTCATATAAGGCTTGAAAACTTCATGACTTTATGACTTGATTAATCATTGGAAAATAGTTTAATTGAGTTCATAAAGATACCTCTAGAAAAAATCGGAAGTGACTTAGAGATATATAAGTGCCTGAATGAGCATGAATTCATACCAAAAGAGTGCAAGATTACAACTTGATTACATAGGGAAAAGAGAATGAATATCCAGTTTGTTGAGTCAGTCCCTTGAGTCGGAATTCTCACTCCCGTGAGTGAGGTTCCATTTGTCTTTGTTTGTTTTCAGTTCTGCAGAGCCACTTGTGTGAGTGACTTTACCACTTGTGCAAGTGAGTGACACTCTGCAACTATTGTGTTCTTGTTTGTTTTCCGATTATTTGAAGTTTAACCGTCCCTGTGGGATCGACCTGACTTATCCTATCTACAGTTTAAGTTGGTAAATTATTTTGGGGGCTTCGACAACCCATCAAAAGTGGCGCCGTTGCCGGGGACGGCGAAAAACTTCTTTTAACCATTTGTTTGTTTTTGTTTTTTTTTCCTTTTGCTTTCTGATTTGAGAAGAGTGTGCCAACTCTGAAATTTAATGGCGGATTATCCTTCATATATAGGAAATTCATGTGATTGGAATGATAACCAACATAATGCACCTTATTGTAGTTTTAATCCTTGTTATGCAACTAATGATTTTCACTCTTATGAACAGGATTGCAACTACTTTACTCCACCAATGTATTCTTTCTATGAGGACAAAGAGATGCAACGCCGAATCGAGATGGAAGAGATATATGAAGAAGTGTTGCAGATGAGACATAGAACGGAATTGGCTGTCCAAAGAATGCAAGAAGCACAACGCCAAAAAGAGTTCCAAGAGATGAATTATAGGCTAAAGGAGCTTGCGCAAAGTGTTGAACGAATGAGTCTTCATCTCCAAACTATAATTGACAACAACTCAAGAAGAGAGAGACAAGAAGCTCTTGAGAAAGTAATCTCATCAATGGAGGACAATGATGTAGAAGATGAACCAAGGGAGGTGGTACTGCAGCCACTACCTATACTTCTTCCACCACCATACTCACACAAGGGAACAGAGAAACTCACTTGTGGGAGTGAGCTGGTGGATGTGCTGAAAATTGATGAGACTTGTCCTCCAAATGAAGAGGTAGTTGACTTGGAATTTATACATATCTTGATGAATGAAGAAGAGTCAACTATCTCCATTGATGAGGGTCATGTTGATGGGGTCAAAGGTAAACATACTTGGGGAGTGCAAGAAGAGATGGTTGATTTTGATCAATTTCAAGCCGAGAAAATCCCCAAAGTGTTGGAAGAGTGGAGCAAGAAAGATTTTCCTCTATGTTGGATGATTCAAAGGTATGCTTCCTGGAGGCATGATAGGCTAATTGATGGCACATTCTTGTGGTATCAAGATGGCTATTCTGAGTGACTTGAAGCCACAAGAGTTGATTTTGGAATGCATCTTGCATTTCAACATTTTGCTTGCTTCATGGGAGGCAACCCATGTTCTTTTCCTTTTAGTTCATTTTTTAGTGATTTTAATTTTTTCTTGTTTAATGTGTGTGCTTCCATGTGAAGAAGAAGTGACAATGTCATCCCAATTCAATTGGTAATCCAAAAATGCAGCAGATTCTGATATCAGTCACTCTGGAGAGTGAGAATAGTCACTCCCCCAAGTGTGCCTGCAACAAGCTGAGTGCTGTGACTGGCTTGCTTTCGATTTCTTTTAGTCTGCATAGGATCTGTGCTTTATTTTATGTTTGGGAGAATTGATATCTGCTCTGATCACGCATGATTATTGTTAGTTTATTTTGTTTCTAACTTAAATATGGGAATTTTGAAAACAGAAGCTGTTGACTTTGAAATTTTGTGTGTTTATTGCTGAAAGTTCTAAGACACTCAGGAAAGTGACTCATGTCACTCGGCAAAGTGACTATGAACCTACTTGATGTTTGAAGTCAATTTATTTCTTTTACCCACCCATATATTTTGTTTTACCTTTCTGTTTTGTTTCTTTTTTAGGTTCTTGAGACATCTTTTGTATGTCATATCCCTTAGTAGCTTGTTAATTCTGAAATTTGGTGTGCTTAATGTGTACTTGCTAGGCTTTAGTCTGGGGTAAACTTCTAATATCTTTATGAGCATTGATGCCATATCTAGCAAGCTTAGGGAGAAATTTCAGAATTTAGCATGTCCGATTGCATATGAGTCACCTAGTTCTTTCTGAGCATTATTGTTAAAAAGCTAAATCTATTTATGGAACTATGGTGTTTCTGGTTTGTTGCTTTCTATGGTCTCTGTGCTTAACTGTATGAACCAAGGAACTTCATGAGCTTAATTTTTGATATATTTAGTCTGTGTTTCAATTCTAATCCTTGGTATTTGAGAAAACTAAATTTGCAGCTAAAGAAGGACTGTAGAGCCACTCCCACGAGTGACCAAAGTCATTCCAACGAGTGACACTACAGAAAAATAAAAATTCTTAACCCTTATAGCTGTTGAATCTTTTTTATGTTCTGATGTTGCAATTCCACGCTGTTGTACAAGGATGTCGCGATCCCTTGTATGGAGTATATTTCGACACAACATAGAGCTTGCAACAAATCGAACAGATATGTTGAATGATGTGCATCATGAAGCCCTCCTCATCCATTTAATTGCTCCAACTCAGGGAAGTCATCAGTCCTCTACCTCACTCACAGGAATGAGAATATCACTCCTGCGAGTGACCACACAGTTTTTGTTGTGAATTGTTTTTGTTTCTGTGAACTGTTTTTGTTGTTATTTTTGTTTTGTGTGATTTGTTTGTCAGCATTAGAGACAATGCTTTGAATAAGTTTGGGGGAGTAGTAGGGAGCATGTTTATAATTTTTGTTTTTTTGATTTTTTGTGAATGTTAGTTCTATGATAGTTGGATATCTATGAAGACCAATGTACTTAATTTCTTATATCTAATTCAAATTTTGATTTTACCTAACTCTTGGTTATCATCTCTACACTATTTAAGCACACATGCCTTTTATGCTTAGTTACATTGAAGTTGAGTTTTATAGCATGCTCTGTGGTGTTCTAAATTGGTTAAAAATGTTTAAATGACTTTTCTCACTACCACTTAAATGCGAAGTGTGGTTTGTTTACATGCTAAAGAATTGACTAAGGCAAGCTTAATGACCCTCTCTAATACCTTCTTTGGGAATTGGTAGACGGAATGCTCAAAAATGAGTAAATAAAAAAGTTCAAAAGAACTTGAGGGAGTATAAGGTAGAGCATCAATGCTAATTCTCTTAGAGTGAAATGGCAACAATGAGTGATCCTTTGGCCTGGAAAGAAAAGTCTCCTATCGAAAGCTCTCGGTAGGAGGGGTCGGAAGTTGGAAAGAAAAAGAATCATGAGTCATAAATAGAAAAAGCCAAAAGACTCGGAGGTAAATAAAAGGGAATGAGGGAGAATAGTTGAAAAGAAATGAATTGTGAGAGTCCTTATATCTCTGAGGCTGTATTGGCCACATTAGCATGATTGTGGTAAGAAAGAATGAGTCATAAGGCTAAGAAATCTCTAAATATGCACCATGAGCTGTTGTTTACCTTATACTAATTTGTCACTTTGCATACTTGGCATGATTCACACACACACGGAGGTGATTTCGTAAAGACTAGGTGAAATTCGAATTTGGATGAAGATATACATATTTTTCTTGTGTCTGAGATGTTGTATCCGATTGTCATATGAACTAGCTATGTTTGGTAGTTGCTGTGAAGTACATGTGTGTTTGTTGCAGTGTCACTTGCCTGAGTGACTTTTGTCACTCAGGGGAGTCAGTGGTTAGCTATTGTTTTCTTGTTTCTACATATGGTTTTAAGGGGTTAGATTGTTTTGCTTGAGGACAAGCAATTCTTCCAGTTTGGGGGAGTTGATAACGGTTAAATTGTTACATAAAAGCATTGCAATTTTGCTCTTTAATTAGTTAGAAATTAGGGGTGTTTCTTAGATTTTGTTCATTTTACATAGCTAGTTTTGTGTTTCTAAATAGGTGAGGACCGGAGTGAACAAATGCTGAAAATGGGAGGCCAAGGGAATAATTTATGGGCTGCTGAGGCAATGTTGCTGAGCTGGATGAAGAAGCAGCCCCTTAGACAAGAAGCATCTTGTCATTAATGACTATGTCTCCTCAAAGAGGCATGCTTGTCCCCCAGCTGCAATCTCAGCCACCTCTGCTGATCAATGAGAGCAATTCTGCCACTGCTAGAAAAAGAAAAGAAGAACAGCCAAGTTGGATTGCAGGCTCAAGACATTGGGAGGATTAAACAACTACAAGCACGGGGAGGCTATCTTGGAAGAAGAACCGGCTTCAAAGCTCTATAAAAGGGAGCTGCATTCCCAGTATGAAGATAGATCTGAGCGGACATACAACACACAAAAACACAACAGAGAGAGAAGAAGAGAGCAGAGAGGGGAGAAAACTCCAAAGGAAGAAGAAGTCCAGTAGCAGAAAGAGAGGAGTAACAGACCTCACTCGCCTGGGTGACCTTTGTTTTTCAGGCGAGTGACCTGTTGCTCAGCCATCCAGATTTGTTTCTTCTTAATGCTTTCCTTCTTTTCTTGTATTTTCTGTAGTTTGTATGTGTAGTTAATTAGATTTCATTCTCTGGAACCTATGTAGCTTAAGTTTGTGAATGCATTCGGATGATTTTGTGTTTTGAAGTTAAAGCTTTTATCTACCTCTTGATTAAATTGGCCATTTGATTGATTGTGCACAGAACTAAGTGAATCCCGGAAGGGTAAACAAGGTTCAGAATCATTTAGCTTCAACTTATGACTTGGAGGTAACAGTCCAAGGTTCTAATTGAGATAGGAATATACTTGGTTAGCATAAGCATTCATATAAGGCTTGAAAACTTCATGACTTTATGACTTGATTAATCATTGGAAAATAGTTTAATTGAGTTTATAAAGATACCTCTAGGAAAAATCGGAAGTGACTTAGAGATATATAAGTGCCTGAATGAGCATGAATTCATACCAAAAGAGTGCAAGATTACAACTTGATTACATAGGGAAAAGAGAATGAATATCCAGTTTGTTGAGTCAGTCCCTTGAGTCGGAATTCTCACTCCCGTGAGTGAGGTTCCATTTGTCTTTGTTTGTTTTCAGTTCGGCAGAGCCACTTGTGTGAGTGACTTTACCACTTGTGCAAGTGAGTGACACTCTGCAACTATTGTGTTCTTGTTTGTTTTCCGGTTATTTGAAGTTTAACCGTCCCTGTGGGATCGACCTGACTTATCCTATCTACAGTTTAAGTTGGTAAATTATTTTGGGGGCTTCGACAACCCATCAGCAGGTTATTTCTGTTCAGTAACAGTCAACATGTGGCTAAGATAATAAATGGCTCTTTCAAAACCGTCTGCACCATCCTGTGCCCAGAAGCATCCTTCTGTATCCAAAATATACAACTTTAAAGGTCGGACATAAACAGGTGCAACCATCACTGGTGTTCGACGAAGAGTATTCTTGATATCTTCAAAAGCTTGTTGATGTTCATGTTCCCAGACAAAATCGGTGGTAGCCTGTATTTTAATAACAGAGAAAAAGCCTTTATTTTAGGAGATAAATTGGCAAGAAATCGTCGCAACAAATTAATCTTGCCAATCAAACTTTGTAGTTCTTTCTTGTTCCGCGGAGGTCGAGCTTCTAGTATAGTTTTGGCTTTTTCTGAATCAACTTTGATACCCCTAGAATGAACCAAGAAACCAAGGAAAACTCATGATGTTACTCCGAACGCACATTTGAGTGGGTTGAGCTTCAACTTGTATCGGCGCATTCGTTCAAAACAAATGGCTAGATGACGTAAATGATCAGGGAAAGAATGTAATTTCGTGATACGTCATCTATGTAAACCTCAAGCAAGTCACCGATCAATTCATGGAATATGCAATTCATGGCACGCTGATAAGTTGCACCGGCGTTTTTGAGTCCAAACGGCATCACTTTCCATTGGAAAATCCCTAAAGCACCAGGAGCACAGAATGTTGTCTTAGGAACATCTTCATGAGCGATATAGATCTGATTGTATCCTGCGTTGCCGTCGACAAAGCTGAATATCTCATATCCGACCAATTGTTCAATAAGAGTTTTGGCAATGGGCATTTGGTATTCATCTTTAGGGGAAGCCAAGTTTAAATTGCGGAAATCAGTGCAAACCCTGGTTTTGCCATTCTTCTTGATTACCAGCACAACGTTCGATAGCCATTCTACATATGTGGCAACTTTAATAAAGTCGATAGCTAATAACCTTTGAATTTCTTCTTTAACTTTCCCCACAACATCTTCTGAAAAACATTGTGGAGGTTGCTTAAAAGGCTTGAATCCTGGCTTGAGTGGAATTGTGTGTTCGACCAACTTGCGATCTAAACTAGGCATCTCTGTGTAATC